CTGCGAGAGATGCTGCGGGATGTGCGCGGCCGGCGACCGGAGGGCGCAGCGCTGGTCGGGGTCCTGGTGGCCGACGCCGGAGCAGAGGACGCGGTGGTGTCGGGACTGCAGCTGCTGGAGACGCTGTTGCGCTCGGTGTTCGGCAGCCAGGTCGGGGGTTCGGTGCAAGCTGCAGCCTTCCGTCCCGGCTCCCCGGCCTCCAGCCTGGAGGTCCAGGAGGCGGCCTGCAGGGCCCTGCAAGCTGCCGGACCAGGTCGACCAGGTGAGGCTGCACGGGATCGGGCTGGGTACCGGTGAAGGCGTTTAGGGGAAGACTTCAGTTCCTTTAGTCCGGTTGAACCCCGTTAGGCCACCCAACTCTGTTGTGCACCGTGGTAAACTGAGGCCACAGTTCTTCTGAGCAGAGAAGTCCCTAGCACAAGGCCTTTGAGCCTAAGGTGACCTGACTCTGGAAAGGAGTTGAGTCGATCCAGATTGCCAGTGAAATGGCAGCCTAGGGTTCAGAAGGTCAGTAAGCGGATAGAGTTGAACTGTTTTGAACAGTACGAGCTGGAGACTGAGGATAGCGGAAGAAGATAGAAACGTCTCGGGGTGCAAAAGTTTGGGTGGTGTGCGTTGGGGATGGTGAAGAACTGAGACGGGCTGAGGCGGGGGCGGGGGTGACCGGAGCTTTAGGGCACGGTGCAGGCATGGTTGTTGCAGGAGTTACGGGAGAGCATGAGTAATGCCCAGAGACTCGGTGTGGAAGGGTGGAAGGCGGACACCGTTCCTGGCAGAGGCAAGAAATAGGTGCCAGGAACCTAGTGTTGGTAAGCAAGCGCAAGGAACCGAGACCATGGTGACCTCAGTGATTCCTGGCTTCCCGCCTACACTGATCTGATCGCTGCTGCCAGGCGTGGCAGGGTCACCTTTTTCGTCCACACACGCTTAAAGCGTAGAAAGGAGGGAGAGCTTCTCCCAGCCGGGGAATCTTCCATTACAGACGGGTCAGGTGTCCCAGGGCAGCAGGGTTTGCAGGAACTCTGCAGTATAGTGGGATTAAAATGTAGGCCTTCAGTGGAGCTGGAGCAGACACTGGGAGATCTTTGCACTGCTCAACTCCCTTCCGTTTGACTCTTTGCTGTAGTAAGCTTCCCAGTTAGTAAGTGGCTGTGTGGGGGTGTTCCAGGGCATTAATGCTATTGGCCATTAGCCAGCCACTGGGAGACGTCAGACCTATCTCAGCCGGGAGACACTATCTGATGTTCCAAACGTCGCACTTGCACCTGCCAGCCTGGCAAATGTCATTTCTGTCATTGGAGGCTCCCCTAGCTTCTGGTCAACTTGCCTTCGATGGAGGATGAACAACCTCCAGCATCCTGAAAAGTGAGGGAAATAAATTCCCCGTGTATACCCCTGTTCTGAGCATATCCAGACAGCCAATTCCTTACTTGGCCTTGAGGGAAAGAAGGGAATTCACACAAATTCCCCCTAGACTAATGAACTGGCACCTAGAAAACTCTAAACCTTCCTTCTCTTAGCTCTCAGTTCCCCCAGGCACGCTTAACTCTGGTCATGGTTTTGTGCACCTAACTGTGACCAGCCCAGAGAGCCCTCTCTTCTCTTCCTTCTATAGCTTGCCTCACCCCTCCATTCAAACGGGGAAGGGGCCTTCTGAAAAGCCTGCACTCCCTCCTGCTGGCAAACTCAGTAGTGAAATTTCAGAACCTTTGATCTTTGGCTCTCTCAGCAATGACCAAATGGTTTCATCGCTGCTCTCTTGAGATTTTAACAACCCTAGGATTCCCGTTTCCTAACTCCCTGCCTGGCATCCAAAATGGAAGACTAAATCCTTGCTTTGAAATAAACACTGACACTCCGGAAAATGGCACCTTAGCAGATGTATCATCTTCTGCTATAGCCAACTCTTGCCAACTTTCATAACAACACACTGAGAAAAAACCAAAGCTTCAAGGCCATGAGTTAATTATAACTCCTTGTGTATCCACTTCCTTGCAGCTTTTTACAACAGTTTACGGAAGTCAGGCATGGTAACCCACGCCTTTAATCCTAGCACCTAGTAGGCAGAGGCAGACAGATCTCTGTGAGTCTGAAGCCGTCCTGGTCTACATAGTGAGTGTCAGGCCAGCTGGGCCTAAGAAATGAGACCCTGTCATTTAAAAAAAAAAATTTAATCTATTGGTGTTCTGAAATGGTTTGAAGCAAGGCACAATGATGCACACCTGTAATCCCAGCATTTGGGAGGTTGAGGCAGGAGGATGGAAAGTTCAAGGACAAACTAGGCTACATAGTGAGATCCTGTCTCAGAAACAAACAAAAGGATGGATGGATAGACAGATGAAGAATTGGGGTAGGGAATCAAGGAAAGAAGGCAGGGTTTGAACTAAAACTGAAGGAGAAATGGCTGCTCTCTGAGAGGTTTCTTTAGTGGTATGCGATCGTGATTGAGTTCATGTCATTTTGTTGCTATGGTTTCCCCAGCATGTGCACATTTCACATGAAATCTGTGAGGCTGAAGTGAGATAGCCAGACAGATGAAAGCAGGGCGGTAGAAAGTCAAGACTCCTGGGTTGCTCAAGAAAGTCTCCAGACACGAGCTGACCTCTGCCTTGGGGATTTGGACTCTTTCTAGCAGAAGTTGCCTGGGAAAGACCGGGCCTCCTTGGCCTACTGACTTGCTTTTCCTGGGGTCCTCGGAACCAGAGGAAGAGCCACAGAGATGCCACCTCCTCCCAAGGCCCAGCTCAAGGTAAGAACATTGGCTGCCTGGATCCTGCGTGAATACAGGGGCCTTAAGGACACACTTTCTCCGTGCTGAGAATGACAGGAGCACTCGGGTGCCTGTCCCTCCAAGCAGGGCTCAGGCAGAGTTCCTGCCCTAAAAGTCCTCTAACCTGGTGAAGGTATGAAGAGAGCTATAGGACAAGAATTCCACATGCATAGTAGGGGCTGCGAGGGCAGGCCAGTGTCCCCCGAAGAACGTGAGTGTTAAGGAGCTAGCGGCATTTCAGCTGAGAAACAGGGTTTCCTGTGGGCAGACATAGGAAGACTCAGAGACCACGCTGAGCAACAGTTGCTAGCAGATATCATATTCAGAAAAGGAAGCCCTTCAAGGGTGCTCAGGGCTGAGGAGCAGAGGGCAAGGGAAGGCCTTGAAGTGGAGATCTGGGCCACATGGAGGCCAGGATGCCCTTCAGGGGCACAGGGTCTTAGACACAAGCACAAAGATGGCAGCCTGTGGAAACACAGGGAGATCAGAGACAGATTCCAGCTAGAGGGGACCACAGCAGCCCCTAAAGGGATACTGGGTGACCTGACCCACAGAGGCTGGGAGACTAGAAAGGAGGTAACTCAGCTAGAGTGGTTTCCAGGGTGGGGTCATCTTGCTGGTAAGTGGAGGCACGGAAAGAGCAGGGCACAAACAATGAGCGGTGGCACAGAGTAAGATTTTATTGTGTCTCTTATTTAAAACTGACAATTCACTGACCTAATAGCCTTCTCTCACTGCCTAATAATTTGCGACAAACAGTGGCTTAAAACACACACACACACACTGGTCTAGTAGGATGGAGTGGGTAAAGGTGCTTGCCACCAGGACGGAAGACTTGAGTTTGACTCCCAGAATCCATATTGTGGAAGGAAAGAACTGACACCCCACAAGTCATCTTCTGACCTACACACACACACACACACACACACACACACACACACAATAGATAGATAGATAGGTAGATAGATAGATAGATATAAAAATGGCATGCATTTATTAAGTGGCCAATAATTTATTAAGCGAAAATTAAAGATGCTCAAAGCTCTTATATAAAATAATAGAGTAGCAGACCTGGGGAGATGTCTCAGTGGTTAAATTGATTGCCAGGCAAGTATGAGGATGGAATGTGGATCCCCAGAAACCCACTAAAGACCAAGAGAGTGTGCCAACAGGCCTATAGTCCCAGCCTCAGAGGGAGTAAGCAAAGGGACCAAGAACAGGCAAACTAGCAAAACTGGTCAGACTTACAAGCTCTGGGTTTGCTAGATAGCCCCTTCCACAATGGATAAGGTGGAAGAGCAATGGAGGAGGACTCTTGACATCAACCTCAGGGGAGCCACCATGTGAGTGTGCGTGTGTGTGCACACGCAGACACTCATTTGTGTACTGGCACAAATGCACCCACATACATGAAAAGACATGTACACGTGCACATACCACACACAAGAGAAACGAAAGGGCACACTGTGTATGTTTAGCCTATGTACAGCCTCCTGTACATCTCAGTCATCTCTGGATTATACATAATCCCTAACAGAATGTGAGCATTGTGAGAGCACTTGTTATACTGTATTTATGTATGTATATGAGTTGCCTCCATGTATGTATATGCACCATGTGCATATAGTGCCCACTGAGGCCAAAAGAGGGCGCTAGATCCACTGAAACTGTAGTTACTGATCTATGTGAGCCACCATGTGGTTACTGACTGGGAACTGAACCCAATTCTCTGCAATAGTAGCAAGTACTTTTTACTGCTAAGTGCATGTGTGGGGGGGGTGTTTAGTTTTATAGAATTTTATACAACATCTTTTATTTTAAACAAAACACTTTTTTGTGATTCTGGGAGATGAACCTACAACCTCACTCTGATCTACATGCACAACCTTTTGTTGTTGTCTTATTTTGTTTTGTTTTTAAATTATTATTTATGTAGTCTTTATGTTGTTTTGTTTTTGAGACAAGGTTTTATATATTCTAGGTTGGCTTTGAACTCAAATGTTTCCAAGGATGGCCTTGAACTTCTGATTCTCTTCCTTCACCTTCCAAGTACTGGGATTGCAGGCAGGCACCATCACTCCCAGTTTATGCGGTGTTAGGGTTTAGACCTGAGATTAATGTGTGCTAGGCAAGCACTCTACTGACTGGGCTGTGTCCCTAACCCCATTCTTAATGCAGAGCCCCAGCATACATAGAAACCCTAGGTTGTTCGCCTTGTGAGTTCTCTGGATGCCGACTGAGGATCAGTTGCAACAGTTTCAGCTGCAGGTGGGGAAGCCAAGACTCAACTAGTATAAGCTGTAAGAGACCTCGCTATCTCTCATAAAAACAGTGGCATTGGTGTTAGAGTTGGTCGGTATCAGCCCAGGATCTCACAGACCTCATAAGGACCTGGGACTTTTCTTTCTCTCTGCTGACCCATCATTTCACCCTTAGACCGGAACTGAGATGGTGGCAGGGGTGTGGAGATCATGTGTCCTTGCCTACACAGCTGAAAGTGGGCTTGCTGGGTCAAAGGGGGAGCTGCTATTCTAAAATAGTTTTAGATCTGTATTTTGCTTGGCATTTTCATTTCTGATGTGCATGTGCCATGGTGTGCTTGTGGAGGTCATAGGACAATTTGAGGGAGTTGGTTTTCTGCTTCCATCATGCGGGTCCTGGGACTCAAACTCAGGTTGTCGGCATTGGCAGCAAAAACCTTTACCTGCTGAGCCATCTGACATCCAAAAAGTCCATGTTGGCTTTAAACGTAGATCGTGGGTCAACTTCTTCCCTTCAAGTGCTGGATATTGACTCATAAACTTGATCTTTTCATTCTTGAATGTTCCAGAACACCTCCAGGTCTTGGAGGAGGAGCTTGCACTGACAGCCATGTGTCCCAATGGAGACTGTGAAGACCGAGGGAGTGGAGCCAGAGCCCAGGATGGAGTTGTCCGCATGCCACCTGAGCCCTTGGAGGACACAAGATGAAGGCCGGACCCCTGGACTGGCCCTAACCTGCACACTGGGGTCTGGACCTTCTCAGTGAGCTTCCATGCCACAGTGTTGACCTCAGCAGCTGGTGACTGACTGACTACAGAGACCCCGCTTGCTTGGGGACCGCCGCTTTCACTGCTCCACACTTAGTGTTTCTTCACTCTGTGAGCAAGGTGATCCTGTCTCTCTGTGCCTTCATTTCTCGGAGCCAAGGAGACACTGTACCGCTTTGCAGACATACCGCTCTGTCTGGGGCTTCTGTTTCCCAGGGGCCTGCCACCCCAGGAACTAGGGTGCACCTCCAGGCAACACTGGAAACTTGTGTGGGGACAGTTAGTGGGCATCTCACAGCGTGTAGGACGGTTCAACCACAAATAATCTATTTTCTCAGAATACCAGTTGTGACAGTTTCGAGAGATGGAAGAGCCAGTCCCTTCTCCCTGTCATTTTGTGAAGAGATCCCCTTGGCTCTCCTGGGTTCTTGCCCCCCCCCCCAACAAGCCAAAATCAAGACCTGACTGTTGCCGGGAGGGGGCCTGTCAGGCCAGAGCCGATATGACCTGTGTGTTTCAGGACCAGGACCAAAAGCGCCTTGCATGCTGTGAGAAAAGGAGGCCTCAGTCTTTCCGGTGTAGACACTGATTACTGTGCCAAATCCTCTGTGGAAAAGTTTTCTGGGAGCTGCCTAGAGCACCAAGGACAGGGAAAGCCAGGGTGTTGGGGCGTTCAGCTCCCGACTTTTATTAGCACTCAGGTCCTACCTAGCCCAAGTATTCTGGAATCTTCCCTCTGAGGCTTTGAGTCACAGACGGTTCACGCAGGGGCAACTGGGGATTGCCTCTTGATCTTGCCTGCCCCTGGAGAAATCAGTCTTTGGAAGGGAAAGGGCCCTACTGGTTTTCCCTGATGTGAGAAAAGTGCTGTCAGAGGGAAGTGGATAGACTTACATATTCATCCTTGTGCCACTCTGCAGATAGCCAACTGTGCTGTGTTTGGCGTAGCTCCCTGTGAGGAACTACGTACCTCTGAGTCATCCTTTCAACTCTTTCTGTGACACCACCAAGGGAGGGTCCCCTCCTCCCTGCTCTGTGCCTCAGTTTCTTCTTGGTGATCCACAGCCTAATCCTGTTCCCTCTCAGTCTCATGCAAAGAGCATGAGGTGCAGAGGGATTGGCATCTTCCCGGTGTGAGGTGGAAGCAGACATCATTTTAACAATGCAAGGTTGTCCCGTGGTCCAGCTAGCATATTTTATTCAAGTGTGAGCTAGAGGCTGAGGTGTAGTTCAGTTAGTTGGGGAGAGTCTAGCGTGCTAGTTTGATCCCCACAGCTATATGAAGTGGAAGAAGTACACATGCCTGTAATCCTGGTTCTTGGGAAGTAGAGAGAGGAGGATCTGAAATTCAAATTCACCCTCAGTTACAATATGAACTGGAGGCCAGCCTGGGCTACATGAAACCCTGTCTCAAAAAAAAAAAAAAAAGAGCAATTTTGAATTATCAATTTGACTTGTTTTGGGTTTATTGGCTTTTTTTTTTTTTTGCTTGTTTGTTTTTGTTTTTCAAGACAGGATTTCTCTGTGTTCTAGCTGTGCTGGAACTAGCTATTGTAGACCAGGTTACCCTCAAATTCCCAGAGATTTCTGCCTCTCATGATGAGATTAACGGTGTGTGCCACCGTAGCCCAGCTTGATTTTGTTTTTAAACCGGAAGACTGGTGTATCTGAAGCTGCTATATTTTTGTCACAATGTTGACCTATGCAATCCTATGTGATCATTCAGTTAAGTTCCATTATTTGATCAAGAAAAGGGGCTTAAACTGGGAATTTGTCTAAGACAGAAGTTACAGAGTTAAATATCTTTTGTATTTGTTACCCATGTTTGAAACTTAGGAAACAGGAACATTTAAATCAGCCGAGTTTCCTGGGTGAGGAAGGCTGTACCTTCCTCACCGTCCTTCACTTGGAGCCCCATCCCTACTGTACCTCACCCACAGGGCCTTTTGAGTTCGTCGCCTCTGCTCTAAAGGGCGATCCACACACCATTCACATTAGTTGTGGTTTGAGTTGCCTGTTGTCTTGTCACTGGTTGCAAAAGTCGTTGTACGGAGCCTGGGTTCTGTTTCCCAGCTGGTAAAACAGGTGCCACAACACAGCATCCTGCTGTCTTAGTACTGTTTCCCAGCGGACAGCAAGACTTGGGTTTCACCAGGGATGGCCTTGTGGGACCCTTTCAGAGGAAAGAAGGAAGGAAGGTTGGAGACCTGGAGGAAGCCAGGAGTCCCTGGGAGCCACGTGTGAGGAACTAACCACCAGCTCCACTGGGTCCTGGGGTTCTAACCTGGAATGCGTTGGTAGTTTCCCTGCTTTTGACTTGAGTCCTGGCTCCTTAGATCTAATAAACCAGACAGTGCCTCACCGGTATCGGATAGAAGCAGAATGAGTCTTCCTTTTCTTCTCTAACACTGTCTTCACGGGGCCCTGGGGAGGAGGGAGTCTGAGCAAATGAAATACCCTTAAAAGTCCTCCAGGCCCAGGTGATTTCTTCACAGTCCATGTCTGGAACTGGAAAATATCTGGGGAGTGGAAGCCAGTATTAAATAGATTTATTTATTTATTTTTACTTTTTATTTATGGTGGCGCATACATACCACAACACATGTATGGAGGTCAGGACGACTTGTGGGAGTCAGTTTATTCATCCACCATGTGGACCTAAGGGATCCAACTTAGGTCACATGGTTTGGCAGCAAAATACCTTTGCCCGCTGAACCATTTTACAATCCCAGAAGTAAATATTTAAAAGGAGATTCTCTTTTTAATTGAAAGATAGCATGGTTTTGATATACAATAGAGGGTGCGGATGTGTATGCATATGTGTGTGTTTAAGCAGAGCTAACCCAGACCTTCACTAGCTTTCAGGCAAATCTTTGTGAGATTTGTGTCATGGTTTCTCTCCTGTTCAAGTGTTTGCCTCCAAAGAGTTCCTGGTTTGTCAAAGCAAATCTTCAGGAGAGTCTCTAAAGGAACCAAATGTGGATGCCCTGGGCCTGCAATATCAGTGAGCTCCTCTTTTTCTGCAAGAAACAAGGACCAAACTTCAGCCAGAAGGTAATGGCCACTGACCGCTGAAGATGCGAAGGCAATCTGTGCTTTAAAATGCCAATGACGGCTGACCAGTGGTGGTGCACACCTTTAATCCCAGCACCTGGGAGGCAGAGGCAGGTGGATCTCTGAGTTCCAGGCCAGCCTGTGGGTTCCAGGACAGCCAGGACTACACAGAGAAACCCTGTCTCAAAAACCAAAAGCCAAAAAGAAAAAAAAAAAAAGCCAGTTACAAGGTAGGGCTTGCTTCACAGGGACAGGTAGCCTGGACTTTGTCCTGTTTGCATGGTACACAGAGGGGAGGAAGTTGTCTTTATTGAGGGCTGCGCCAGCACTCTGACCTGTTTTTGTGTGTTAGTGGATCAAGCATTGGGACAGAGGTGAAATTTAGCCAGGACAGCCAGCCAGTCACTTGCATAACCTTAGTGTTGGGTTAGGGGAAGTTGGTGGTCCTGGACCACCAGGAATCTATGCACATCCTTGTCTGCCTTCAACTGTGAACCCAAGTCTTCAGCCTTACACTCATGGCGGCCACCTGGGAGAAGAGCATGGCTGCCTGTAGGACAGAGTCGCAGGTAGGTTCAGAGCCACAGGAAGTAAACGGGTGAGACTGGAAGGGGAGAACAGGGTGTGTTGGGGGTCCCATCCAGGTGGGTGTGGCTGTGGTAAGGTTGAGAACCCTATCTACCTTCTCGCCTAGGATCTCCAGCCATGGCTCCTACCCAAAATGCTTAGCAGGGCTTTGAACACCCTGCTTAGTCCTTGTGACCAAGCCCTGGATTTGAGATCTAGTTATAAAAACTGGGTCTATCTCTGTCTTCGTTAGGATTTTTATTGCTGTGAAGAGACACTGTGCCTGTAGCAATTCTTTTAAAGAAAACATTTAACTGGAGTGGCTCGCTTCCAGTTTCGGAGGTTCAGCCATCATCATCATGATGGGGAACATGGCCCCGTGCAGTCAGAGGAGCTGGAGCAGAGAGTGCTACATTTCGCAAGCCACAGGAAGAAGACCAAGACACTGGGTGGTATCCTGAGCATGGGAAAGCTCCCCCACAGTGACACGCTTCCTCCAAGAAGGCCATACCCACTCCAACAAAGTCACACCTCCTAAGAGTGCCACTCCCTGTGTGATTATGGGGGCCAGTTATACTCCAACTACCACAGTCTCTTAGCCCCAGGTTCTCTTCATCGCCAGTGAAGGAGGTCCTCATGCTGAGGGAGGCTTGCATCATGATTCTTACTGCAGGCTAACTTCACGCTGACCTGCGATCCCTGTGGACTGGCTGCTCCAGAACCCCTAGATGTGGGGGACAGCTACTCTCACCTCCTTGGTCCCCGACAAGAGGGTGTCTCCGCTTCAGCCTACCCAGATCCAGGAAACAGGAACAGCTTCAGAAAGTTGGCAAGGCCCTGAAGGGACACACTTGAATTAGCGGGCTTAAGAGGAATCTATGGCAAGGTGTAGGGGAAACTTCCCGGTTTCTAGTAGCCACCTTGGGGTAAAAAGGTAAAGAAACAGGTAACGTTAATTTTAATCATGAGCAATCTCTTCTTTTTTTTTTTTTTTTTTTTTGAGACAGAGTCTCACTAGGTAGAGCTCTTTCTGACCTAGAACTCACCATATAGACCAGACTGTCTTCAAACTCATGGAGAGTGAGTCAGTTGCCTCTGCCTCCTAAGTACTGGGATTAACGGCAGAAGCCACCACACCCAGGTTAATATACTTTAAAAGCACATTTACTAAGTCTTATGTGTATGTGTGTGTGTGTGCCTGAGTGTCCGTAAATGCATGGATGTGTGTGCAGAAGCCCATGGAGGTCAGAAGAGGCACTGAATCCCTAGGGACTGGAGTTACTGATGGTTTTAAGTTGCTGTGTGCGTGCTAAGAACTGAACCCAGCTCTCCCACAAGAGCAGTAGGTGTTCTTAGCTGATGAACCACCTTTCCAACCTTCATTTTCTTTTTTTCTTTTTCATTCTTTTCTTTTTGGTTTTTTGAGACAGGGTTTCTCTGTGTAACAGCCTTAGCTGTCCTGGAACTAGCTCTTGTAGACCAGGCTGGTCTCAAACTCACAAAGCTCCACTTGCCTTTGCCTCCCGAGTGCCAGAATTAAAGGCATGTGCCACCACTACCTGGCCCAACCTTTGTTTTCTTAAATACAGGGTCTCCTGTATCCCAGGCTGTCCTTCAGCTTGTAGTTGAGGATGACCATGAATGAACTGACCCTCCTACTTCTACCACCCTAGTGTTGGGATTACATGTGTGACACTACACCTGGTATCTATCATGTGTGTGTCATGCACACACAAACACAGAGGCCAGAGGAGGACGTGGGTATACCCTTTCTTTACCATTTTCATCTCATCATCCCTTAAGACAGGGTGTTTCATTGAACCTGGAACTCATTAGTTTTTCCCTAGGCTGGTGGCCAGCAAACCCTAATGATCCTATCTCCTTACCTGTCCTAGGGCTAAAGTAACATGTGTGTGGGGTCATGCTTGGATTTTTATGTGGGTGCTAGGGATATGACCTCAGGTCATCTTGCTTGGGCAGCAAGCTCTCTTACCCACTGAACCATCTCCGTAGCCCCACACCCCAATTTAGGCAATGCTGGGATCAAACCCAGGGCTTTGTACATGCTAGGCAAGCACTCTACTAACTGAACTACACCCACATCCCATATATACTTCCTAAGAGCAAAATTCTCTTTCAGTTGGAAATGAATAATAAAGCATTTTACATGTTTAAAAGCAAACTCTCACAACTTAGCCCAAGCTAGCCCTGAACTTGACTGTGTAGCTCAGGCTGGTCTTGCATTCATGATGCTCCTGCCTCCACCTTCCAAGTACTGGCATTACGAGTGTGAGCACCCACACTGTCTCCACAGCATTTTCCATCCTCTTTTGCCAAATCACTGAACCCTGTGAGAACTTTAGCACTTAATTCATGGCCAGCAAAATGGCTTAGCATGTAAAACCGACCACTGCCAAGCGTTTGTGTCTGAGGTGGATCCCAGTGACCTATATGGTAGAGAGAACCTGGGGCTAGAGAGATGGCTGAGCAGTTAAGAGCACTTGCTACTCTCATAGAAGATCCCGGTTCAAATCCCAGCACACACATGATCATTCACAACCATCCATAACTCCGGTTTCAGGGAATCCGATGCCCTCTTACAACCTCTTCTGGCACCAGACATGTATGTGGTACACTTACATACATGCATACAGACTAAACACTCAGCCCTGAATTAAAATATCTATTTAACATATGCATTTATTTTCTGAGAGAGAGAGAAATCTGACTCCTGTAAGTTATCCTCTGATTTCACATGCACACCTTGGCACTGAAAACCCTTAATTTCTATTTAGAGTCCATTACATTTAGTCATAAGAATATTCACATCCTCAAACTGTTCCATCTATGAAGCTTTCCAGTAACCAAATTGAGTATTTGTTCAATTGGGAAAAAAATGCAATAAATTGAAGTTCATTTGACATACCTGTTGATTACATTAAATCAATAAATTTTCTACTTCAAAATAAAAATTTAATGTTAAATGATTAAAATTAAATGCAAGCTATGGTTTTGCTCCCTCACGGTGTGTGCCTTACAAGCACAAGGTCCTGGCTTCAATCTTGAAAAATCAAACAAAAATGCAATGTAGCAGGGTGGTGGCACGCGCCTTTAATCCCAGAACTTGGGAGGCAGAGGCAAGTGGATCTCTGTGAGTTCGAGGCCAGTCTGGTCTACAAAAACTAGTTCTAGGACAGGCTCCAAAATTACAGAGAAACCCTGTCTCAGAAAACAAAAAACAAAAACAAAACCCTAAAAATGCAAGACAACTGTTTTTGTAGTTCCTGGTGTGAACAGCACTGAGAACCAGGAAGACACTAAAGACTTACAGAGAGGGAGCTGGAGAGACCGCTCAGGGGTAAGAGCAGTAGCTGTTGTTACACAGCTACTGCTCAATTCCCAGTAACCACATCATGGCTCACAACCACCCATGATGAGATCTGGTGCCCTCTTCTGGCCTGCAAGCAGACATACAGGCAGAACAATATACATAAAAAATAAATAAATAAAAATTAAATATTAAAAAGAAAAAAGACTTTCAGAGGAGTTCAAGATGATTCCTAACCCCTAATTCCTGGGAGGTGGCTGGCCATTCCAGAAAGAGAGAGAAAGGACCAGAGAGTGGACGCTCGTAACCATCCCACCTGGACATTCCCTGTGGCCCTCCCTCCCCTCACCCTCACTTTCAATGATCATTAGGTGCCTCAGTCTCCCCACACCAATTTCAGCCGTGGACAGGCGTTTGGCTTTAGATCA